CTTGAGCTGAAGAGCTGAGGGACAGTGCCCAGGCCCAGAGTTCAAGCCCCATGACCGACAAAAAAAAAAAGAAAAAAAATATTCTCAAAGACTCAGAGTTTGCATGCTCTCCTGATAACCATTAGTATGTTTTATACCTAAGTGAACCCTCTGCTCTATTCAGAGCTGTTCTTCAAAGCTCCTGTGGGGCCATGCACCCACGGCCCCTGTGGCAATGGCCTCCCCTGTGCCCGAAGCAGGTACTTGGCCTGGAAAGTCCATGGCAACCACAGGAAAAATCCACTAAGAAAAATCTCAGGCCCTGGGGGATGGCAATAAAATTAAATTATCTACTGAAATTCTACATAAAATAAACATACATGAAGACAAATTTAGTAACTGATTTTAGCTCAAAGGAACTTTAAAGGGAAATAGTAATTCACAGGTACATTTTATTACACATGATATAATGAATGTCAATTATGTGCTCTCATGAAATACTTCCCAAATATTCTTTGCACAAACACTCAAATCATTTTTCCTGGTAGGGGAGGAAAGGTGTCAGAATCTTTAATTCTGGAAGGGAAGACAGAAGCAAGGTACAGTTTAAAAGCTGCACAGAATAGGAATGAGCACGCAGAGCCAGCTGGAAGGAGCTACACTTCAAGCTCCTCGGCTGGGAGAGCTGCCCTGGGTAGCAGTGGAAGGAGGTGGTGCCTTGTTCCTTACTTCCAGATCCCGGAGGAGCCATGTCTTGCTGAAGCCAGTCCCTTTGCTGCACTTTTTCACTAACAGCTTCAGCAGATCAGTCTGAAGAAAGGTTGCATGGATCTCTTCAAAACCATGAGCCTGCCAAGTAGAATGAGAATAATTTGTAGCTGTCTGAGAGTAAGGAAGGTAAAGGCCAGCTGGAGAAAAGCAAGCCTTTCTCACAGCCCAGTCTCAGCTAATGGTTCAAGCTGACTTTCCAGCCAAAATTCTTGAGTCTGTAGGAAAACCAGAGTTCTTAATCTTAACCAGAACCTACTAGAGGCTCAGTCACTCTCATTTGTTCAGTTCACAAACATTTTTTAACACTATTTTCTGTCACTCTTCAGCTCTCTATCTTCTGAAAGCTTCCCAATGCTGTTGAGGCTAAAACTCCATCCTTGACTATGGATGATGACAAGGTCCTCCTCTCTGCTTCTCTGGCTCCATCCCTCAGCTGCCCTATCACCATGTTCTCAGGACTTTTTTTCTGTTCTGTAACAATCATATCTTGGAGTTTGCTACTCTAACTTCTACTTGCTTGTTTACTTATTATTATTGTTATTATTAATTATTTTAATTTAGCAGCACTGATGTTTGAACTCAGGGCCTTACACTTGCTAGTCAAATGTTCTACCACTTGAGTTATGATTCCATATCTCTTTGCTTTTATTTTTTGAATAGGGTCTCACTTTTTGTGAGACTCTATTTATACTTCTTGTGTAGGTGGAAAGAGGAATGCACCATCATGTCCAATTTTTTATTGTTGAGATGGGGAAAGGGATGGGGTCTCACTAACTTTTTGCTTGGGCTGGCCTTGAACCATGATTCTCCTGATCTCTGCTCCTGAGTGGCTGGATTAAAGTTGTGAGCCACTATGTCCAGCTTGCTTCATTATCTACCACCATTTTAGAAAGTTTTAACTCCTAGCAGTCTTCTGGACAGCTCTCTCTCTGGCCAGTGAGGCTGTAAGCTGCATGGGAGCAAGCATCTTTTTCTGGCTCATCACTAGGTATTCAGTTCCATCTAGCTACACGGGAGCAAGGACTTGCTTTCTGGTTCATTACTGAGTACTCAGCTCCATCTGGCTCTTGGTCCTCCACAAATATTAACTTAGTGAGGGTTTCTAAGAACTCTGCATTCAGGGAATTTATTTCTACTCTCCAACTATAATGTCAATGATGAAACAAATCTCACATTGACAAATAACTCAAACTAAACAAACAGCAGGTGAATGGTCTCAATCCTACAATGATATTCTCTCAGAGCTGGTCCATAGCCAACTCAAGTCTTCTTAAGTGTCTCTTGAGGTAAACCTCATAGACTCTTTTGAGTCCAGTGGTAACTGGGTTACCACTGAACATTTTTCAAAGTAAGGGACAACAAACCTCAGCTGAAGGGACAGAGCTGTTGGGAGGATGATCCTACAAGTGAACTGAAATGTGTAATTTTTAAAGATCCTCTCTCTTATCAATGTCTCTTCAAGCACAGGAAGAAGTCATTACAATCAGGACTTCATTTCTCCATGCCAAATATCATCTAGCTCTTCAATTTGTCTGCCTCCTCCCACCCAACTTTAAGCATCCCTACTGCCTTAAAGCTCCATGGGATGCTAGCTCCTTTATTCTTGAGCCATAATGAGCTGCCATTTAGAGGGACAAATACAAAATCAAACTATTGAGAAATTTTATTTCCTCCTTTACTAAATAATGCTTGTACAAGGCTTCAATCATTTCTAAAACTAATCCAGATCCTATTGCTAACCATCCACCAAAATCAGATGGCATTTTTTTTTGTTGATCTTTTTTGCATGTCAAATCTCAGCCAGATTCATTACCAAATGGAAGAGGGTCACTATTACCTTTAGTGTTTTATATAAACCTTTGAGGGCCAGGGACAGAATCCACGTTGCTTCCACTGCCTCAGAGCAATGACTATCCATGCTGGTTTGCAGAAGGTGACTGGCAATAAAGGCGAAGTGCTGGGAATACTGGCTCAGCTGGGTCTCAGAGTCATTGCATTCTTGTCCTCCTCCCTTCTGAGTCAGTTGGTAGTCTTTCACTGTTGAGATGTCAGAGAGCAAGAAAGGTACAAAAAGTACAGTTAATGCTTCCTGTAGTCAAGTTTCTTCCATAGTAGTGTGCATTTCTGAACGCCTGCAGAAATATGAATCTCCTAGGCTCAATCATAGCCATTACAGTTTAAGGTGAGCATAAAAATGGTACTGAGTGCTGTATCAGCTGAATTAGTAAGAAGGACAACTTATTTCCTACTATGTGCACAAGTGAGTCATCTCCTAAGATGTTCACATAAGTTCTTAAAAATAGCACACCTAAGATGTCTGCCTCCAAACAAGACAGGGTAAGATGAACTAATGTACTCTCCTACCTTGAGCAACTAGAACAGGGGAAAAACATGGAATAATGGCATTCACACACAGGAAAATAGGAAGTACAGGACTATGACTCCTGAAAGAAGATCCATAAATTAGCTCTCCAGTAACACCAGAAATCTAGAGACAATTTCCAGGCTGGAAAGAGGGAATAAGACATTTAAGTAGAGTCTAGAAGTCTCAGTGAATTAGGGAAGTTCAAGAAAATTACAGTAGCTAGATTTTATGGGGCAGGAGAGCACCAGAAGAAAGATGCACACAAAGAGAGGTGGGTAGGAGAGAAATCTTTAGAGATGCATAGAAAGTTCCTTGTGAGTTCAAGGCTGTATATTAATCTGTACATATGTAATATGAAACTATTCAAGACAATAGAAACAACTAAAAGAAAAACATTGAGCAGAACAAATTTTGGAGCTCATACAAACTGGGAATATTTTGTCTTCCCACTACAGAAAGTGGCTTCCACTGTCCTGATGAGGGAAGAAAACATCTGAAAACATAATGGTTGAAATGTATCCAATTTAATAAAATTACAAGCTCAACAAACTCAATAAATCTCCAAACAGAAAAAACATGAAGAAAATGTTAATCATAGAGGTCAAATTAGAGGGCGATGGGACAGTAGGGAAACACCACAGCTCTCTCCAACCAAATAGAGAGTTCCAACACTCAAAGTCAGAAGCTGAGCACATGCCTCAGCAGAGGCAGGAAAGTAGGGAATTGCACCCTCTGGGAACTGCATCCATGATGGAAAAAGATCTATGTGTCCAGGGCAAGAGAACCAGAAGCCCAAATCCCACCAGAGTCTGACCTGTATATTCTGGGCTGGGGATTGGACAGCTCAGGCTGCTAGCACCTGATTATAGTCAGGAACTCATAGTGGACTCCAACAGCTAGGAAAATACACCCAGCCTACCTGGTCTTGCCAAGGCGTGAGCAAGAGCAGTCTAGACTGCTCAGTGCTTGGAGGAAGGCGGGAACTGCCTGTGATCTTTAGCAGACAGCTGAGAGTCCTATGTGGGTTAGACTAGCAGCTGGAGGTTGGCTTCTCCCACAACAGAACTGAGACCAGGTACAGACTCTCTCAGCCAATCCAGGAGAGTGAGCTTCATCAATTGATCCAGGAACCAACCCAGAACCAAGCAAAGACAGCCACCGATTGACCAAAACAGTCAGAGTTTGGAATTAGTCTCCAATAATCCCTGAATCTCCATGTGCAAATCACAGCAGAAAATTACAAGATTTATCAATAGCCAGGATAGCAAGCCACTCCCAAAAGCCAGCAGCCACCCAGGAAGAGCCCCAGTGGAAACAAAACAGGAATGGAAGACAAACACTATATCCAAGAGATGTTGGAGGTAATGATTCAAGAATTAAAGCAAGAAATAGATCAGAAATTTAAAGAACAAAGAAACAAAATATCAAGAGTTGCAGGATTTTAAACAGGAGATGCATTCAAAAATAGATGCAGTACACACCTCGCTAAGAAATGAGATTAATACTCTGAGAACCAACATAGAAGTTATATGGCTCAATTTCTTCCATGCAAATCACAATGGAAGCCATAGTTAACAGAGTGAATGAAATGGAAATTAGAATATCAGATATGGAAGACAAAATGCAGCAGCTGGAAAAAAAGTCACAGATATGGACAAATCACTTAAACTATGCCAAAGTGAAGTCCAAGAACAAGCAGGCCGTGCCAAGAAATTTAACCTTCAAGCCGGGCACTGGTGGCTCACGCCAGTAATCCTAGCTACTCAGGAGGCTGAGATCTGAGATGGAAGTTCAAAGCCAGCCGGGGCAGGAAAGTCCGTGAGACTCTTATCTCCAATAAACCACTAGAACACCGGAAGTGGCGCTGTGGCTCAAGCTGTAGAACGCTCACCTTGAACTGAAGAGGGCAGGGACAGTGCCCAAGCCCAGAGTTCAAGCCCCACGGCCGACCAAAAAAAAAAAAATTAACCTTTGTATAATTGGACAAAGGTGAGGAATATCAGAACAAGCGAATGCAACACCTATTCAATAAGATTTTCACCGAAAATTTCCCAATCTTAAAAGAGAACATCTTACATATATAACAGAAGCATACAGAACACCTAACAAGCAGAATCCCAGGAGGAACACTTCTAGGCACATTATAGTGAAAATGATAAATCTGAATAATAAAGAAACAATCTTGCATGCAGCAAAAACAAAAAAGGAGCTATACTATAATGAGAAAAAAATAGAATCACTGCAGATCTCTCCACACAGACACTGAACGCAAGGAAAGCCTGGGAAAGTACCATACAAACCCTGAAAACCAATATCTGCCAACCCGGACTGTATACCCAGCAAAGCTAACATCCACATTTGATGGAGAAGCTAAAATTTTTAATAGTAAAGAAAAACTAAATGAATTCATAAACAATAAGCCAGAACTTCAAAGAATATTAAGAGGGGGAATACAGCATGAAGAAAACAATCAAGATCAGGGATCTGGGGATGGAAAGGTGGCTCAGTGGTAGAGTGCTTGCCTTGCATGCATGAGGCCCTGGGTTCAATTTCTCAGCACCACATAAGCAAAAAAAGCTGGAAGTAGTGCTGTGGCTCATGTGGTAGAGAGCTAGCCTTGAGCTGAAGAGCTGAGGGACAGCACCCAGGCCCAGAGTTCAGGCCCCACGACCAACCCCTCCCTCAAAAAAAAAGTTTCTGCAAAGCTAAAGACATGGCAACCAAACTAGAAAGACAGCCAACTAATTGGGAAAAAATATTTACCAGCAATATATCAGACAAGGACCTAATACCCAGTATATACAGGGAACTCAAGAAACTAATCCCTCCCAAACCTAACAAACCAATTACCAAATGGGCAAGGGAACTAAAGAGAGACTTCTCAGAAGAAGAGAGAAAAATGGCAAAGAAACACATGAGGAAATGTTCACCATCCCTGGTTGTAAAGGAAATGCAAATAAAAACAACACTGAGATACCACCTTGCCCCAGTCAGAATGGCCTGCATCCTAAATTCAGCCAATGACAAATGCTGGAGGGGATGCAGAGAAAGAGGAACCCTATTGCATTGCTAGTGGGAATGTACACTAATACAACCACTTTGGAAAGCAGTCTGGAGGTTCCTTAGAAAGCTAAATATAGACCTCCCCTATGACCCAGCCATACCACTCCTAGGCATCCATCCTGAGCAACAGGAAACAGGATACAAGGACACATGTACCTCCATGTTCATTGCAGCACAGTTCACAAGATATGGAAACAACCCAGATGTCCCACTACAGATGAATGGATAAAAAATCGTGGTACCTATATACAATGGAATATTATGCAGCCATTAGAAAGGACAAAATAATGGCATTCGCAGGGAAATGGATGGAACTAGAAAAAATCATTTTGAGATAAGCCAAGAGCAAAGAGACAAATGGTACATGGTATTCTAGACATGTTGATGTTAAATCCAAAACATAAGGAGATATGACAAAGTAAACAAGACTCAAGAAACAAAGGACCTCCACTCATCTGGTCATATCATTACTAAATGACCTCATGTTGCTGACCACATATATGGTATGTATGTGCACATCTGAGGGACACTAGGAGGAGGTCACAGAAACAGGGAAACGGGAAAACATACAGCAGCAGGACCATCAGCTGCACTGGAAGCTGATCAAAACGAACTAAGCAACTCAATGGCAGCAATGGGAGGGAGGGAATGAAGGAAAGGGAATAGCTGACATCAAGCAAAAGGGAAGAATTGTACATATCATTCAATGTGGAAGAAATAGCTGTATTGTCAAAGCTCATAGAATTCACAAACTTAATAGACCACAATAAAGACAATTTGCCCCATGAACGTTAGAATGTGTTTGTGACTTTAAGTATCACTATCTCACAAGACCATGAAATTTATGTAATCACTTAATCACAATTAAACAAAAAAGTCAAATTAGGGGCTGGATATGTGGCTTAGTGGTAGAGCGCTTGCCTAGCATGCATGAAGCCCAATTACTTAGTACCATATAAATAGAAAAAGCCAGAAGTGGTGCTGTGGTTCAAATGGTAGAGTGCTAGCCTTGAGCAAAAGAAAGCTCAGGAACAGTGCCTAAGCCTTGAGTTCAAGCCCCAGGACTGGCAAAAAAAAAAAAAAGTGAAATTACTAAAGAGAAAAATCTAAAAGTAGCCAGAAAATGGCAATATGAAGATCAACAAAAATATAACAGCAGACTTCATGCTAGAGAATCTATGCCCATAAGAAAATAATTGATAAACATTTCTAAAGTATTCTAAGAAAAATTTGTAGCCTAGAAGTATTTTCACCTAACAAAATTATATTATTGTTACTATTTTATTGGTCGTGAGGCTTGAACTTGTGGCCTGGGCTCTGTCCCTGAGCTTTTTTGCTCAAGGTTAGTATTCTACCATTTTGAGCCACAGATCTACTCCAGTTTTTGAGTAGTTAATTGGAGATAGAAGAGTCTTATGGGGACTTTTCTGCTTGGGCTGGCTTCAAACTGTGATCCTCAGATCTCTGCCTCCTGAGTAGCTAGGGTTATAAGCATGAGCTACCGACACCCAGCTGAAGTTTTATTTTTAAAATGAGGTAACAAAACACTTTATAGACAAATTGGAAGATTTTGTACCACAGAAATGCAAAGGAAAGCTTTATAGGCCAAAAAAAAAAAAAACAGATACTAAATGGAAATCTGAATCTACAAAAATCAATAAAGAGCGCCAGAAATAGTAAATACATAGTTAAATATAAAACATTGGATTTTTTTCCATTTAAAAATATCTGACATTTGGGGCTGGGAAGGTGGCACAATAGTAGAGTGCTTGCCTTTCATGCATAAGGCTCTGGGTTGGATTCCTCAGCATCACATAAGCAGAAAAAGCCGGAAGTTGCACTGTGGCTCAAGCGGTAGAGTACTAGCCTTGAGCTGAAGAGCTCAGGGACAGTGCCCAGGCCCAGAGTTCAAGCCCCACGACTGGCAAAAACAAACAAACAAACAATCAAACAAATAAAATAAGAAAAAGACCAGGCATTGGTGGCTCATACCTATAATCCTAGTTAACTCAGGAGGCTAAGATCTGAAGACTGGGACCCAAAGCCAGTCCAAGTAAAAAAGTAACAAGCAAATAAATGCCAAAGTGAAAGTGTGACTCAAGTTTCACAGTACCAGCTTTGAGTGAAAAAGCTAAGTGAGAGCCCTCTGGCCCTGAGTTTAAGCCTCAATTAAAAAAAAGAAAAAAGAAAGAACAATTTAAGAGCAAACATAAACAGTAAGACTAATAATGCCCAGGGACGAAATCAACAAAATAGAAAATAGTAAGAAAAAAACCCAATGAACTCATAGGTGGTTCTTTGAAATAAATTAATAAATTTCTGGCTAGATTGTCTAGAAAACAAAACTAAGAAGACACAATTTATCGATTTAGGAATATGAGAAGACAGTTTATATCCTATGCCAGACGGAGAGAAATTAAATTTACTCCCAAAATAAATGGAGAGATATAGCATTGCTCAGGGATGAAAAGATTTGATTGTTAAGAGGTCAGTTCTTCTGATACTGATCAATACACTCAATACAATGTCAATCTAAATACTAGCAGTTTAACAGAAACAGTTGATTCTAAACTACATATAGAAAGGCAAAATAACTAAAGAAGACGAAACAACAAAAAGAGTAGAACAAATTGGAAGATCCGATTTTATTTATTTGTTTATTGCCAGCCACGGGGCTGGGCACTGTCCCTGAGCCTTTCCTGTGCTCAAGACTAGTGTTCTAGCATTTTATCACTTGAGCCACAGCATCATTTCTGGCTTTTTCTATTTATGTGGCACTGAGGAATCAAACCCAGGGCTTCATGCCTGCTAAGCAAGCACTCTACCACTAAACCACATTCCCAGCTTGGAAGATCTGATTTTCAAACGGTATAAACCTAAAATAGTCAAGATTGTGTGCCATTTGAGATGAATAGACATATAGCTTAGTAAAACATAATGAAATACATAAATTGGCATATACATAAATAAGTCAATTTTTAATAAAGGTGCCAAAATTATTCAACAGGCAAAGAACCCTGGAACATAGTGAGGAAAAAAAAAAGGGGCAAAGAAACAATACAGATAAGCAGAACTCAGAATATAATGGTTAAGATATCTTATGTTGGTTTTGGTTTGACAAAGTACTGGGGCAGTGAATGTGGAGGCTTAGTGGTAGAGTGCTTGCCTAGCATGCATCAAGCCCTGGGTTCGCTTCCTCAATATCACATAGACAGAAAAAGCCGGAAATAGTGCTGTGGCTCAAATGTTAGAGTGCTAGCCTGGAGAAAAAGAAGCTCAGGGACAGTGCCCAGTCCCTGAGTTCAAGCTCCAGGACTGGCAAAAAAAAAAAAAGTAGCACTTTCAGTGTTCTGCTGAAACAAAAATAGGAGATTGCACTAATGTCAAAAGAATTATTCTAAGAGTAGCTACCCAATTCCATGTTTAAATCACCCATAAGAAATAACCAAAATTAACTAATGGAGGAATTATAAATTCAGATAAACAAAATAACAGCATGAAAACAGGCTTTCAAAATCATCCCAATTCAACCACATTATTTCAGAGACAAGGAAAAAGCTTAGGAAACTATAAACTTGCTCTAAGGGGAAAAAAATCACTCGCAAGGGAAGAACCAAGATTTCCTCTATTGATTTTAGGGTAAGCAGGGAATAGACAATTTTCTTACATCCTTACAAAAATAATTATGTTTAATACCTGTTTTCCTTTTCCGAGTTTTGGCATCAACAATCACAGCCCTGTTCTTCTCAGTGAAATGTTTCAAGATGATAACATTATGGGGCTCGTTGGCATTATCTATATAAACACAGCGAGTTCCCACACAGAGAACCTAGAACATGAAAGAGAAAGAAAAGGCAAGTCAATAGCACATGGAGATAGGACCCTTTGGTTTGGATTTCAAGAAATACTTAAGCATAGGGTTCTTTTCATCTCCTAAGTCAGTGTGTCCAGATTGGTATATGTCCTTGCTGGATGAAAACATGCTTCTATAGCCCCCTTTGTACCAATCTGATGAGAGGTATTATAAGATTAGAAAACAGATCAAGATGAATATCAAAGTGAAAGCCAATTGTTCTTTGAAGCTCTTTGTAATTGAATAAGTTATACTTACTTGTTATTCAAAATTAACTTCCACTAGCAAAATAAATCAAATGGTTAAATTGTTATACAACTTGAACAGCTCACAACACAATCTTGTAAATACACCAATACTGTGAAAGCAAATTATTCAAAAGTGAATTATTCAACTGAAGATTAAAAAGCTTCCAATGATTTTAACACACACACACACACACACACTCTCTCTCTCTTTCTCTCTCTCTCACAGAGGCTTAGACAAGCATGATTGAGATGGAAGAAGCAGATAGGCCTTTGGGTGCTATACCTGAGGGAAGCCAACCAGAACCAGCAGGGTAAAGATGTTGGTATGCTTCAGCTGGAAAGGCAGCTGCTTGATGCAGTGGTCTGTGAAGGTAGCAATGACATCTTGCCAAAGCGGGGCATTATTGAGTGACCGCAGAATCTCTGCCATGGAGCACGCCCAATCCAAGCCCACCCGGCTGAAAGGCAAGAGCTCTATTAGGTGGCATTGCACAAGACTCCAAACTCAGTTCAGTAGAATTCAATTCACTGCAAAGTCAGACCCAGACATTCATTAGATTAAAAAATACCAGAATGATGCTTTTCATATAAAGTGAAAAAAAGTCAAGCATAAGCTTATATGCTTAGTCGCAACTGTTTTAAGCACATAAAAAGTCACCAAGAGCATGTGCATACTCTCACTCCCACCCAGAAAAAAGCTCAGGAAAAAAATATAGCAAATATAGTAAAGCACCAGATGTATCAATATGGTAAAAAGCAGGTGGTACCCCCCCCCACACTTCAGTTCTGCTTTCCAAATTAGTTATTCTTTCCCCACCCCCCAAGAATTTTGTTATGTATTTATTTGTGGTACTCGGGTTTAACATCAGGCTTGCTTGGCACATCCTCAGTCAATCTCCCAGCAATATTCTTCATTTGTTTGTTTATATGTCAGGCTTGCTAGTCTCACCCTCAGGTTGCCTGTTAGTAAAGGTTTTTATTATTTTATTTATGTTACTAAATTTTAACTTGGGGTTTCACCTCCGGCTTGCTAGGCAGAGGAACATCTACACATCCCAATTCTAAGGGATTATTTTTCTTTTTAAGGGACTATACCACATTGCCTTGACTATATCTGCAAGACAAAACCAGTTACATTAACTTCCTTCTGTAAGAGACCTGTCCAAAGGTCAGGCAAGAACTCCACTGGGGGATAGACATGAGGCATTCCCCAGCCCTGTTTTTTTGTTTTTGTTTTTGTTTGAATGCCAATCTGGGCATTGTCCCTGAGCTTTTTGCTCTAGGCTAGCGCTCCTACCACTTGCACCCAGCTCCACTTCCAGCTTTTTTGGGTGCCAAATTGGAGATAAAATTCTCATGGACTTTCCTATCCACTCTGGCTTTGAGCTGCAATACTCCTAACTCAATTAGTTAGGATTACAAATGTCTGTGTTACTTTTATAATTAAAATAGATTTTCAACCACACATATACACTTTTCCTCTCAGAAAAAAAATCCAACAGAAATTATCATCAGATGGTTGAAATTGCAAACAGTAGTGAGGCTCTTAGCTATTTTGCATTGTCAGCATGCTAATAAAACAAGCTCTGCTCACAGAAGAATTTATACAATAGTACTAAAGCACAGTGAAGCACAGTAAAAGCCAAAACCTCAATGAGCAAGTATCCTGGTAGACAGACTGGAGGCTGGATGAGAATCAAGGTTACCTGTCCAGGCACACAGCTCCGAGGCTGAAAAGTAGATGAGTGGTCTTCCAACCATCTGGCACAATGGAACTGTCTCCTGCAGCAAACAGGTTGTGTTTGGCTGAAAGGACCTTGATCACTGCAGCATCTACCTCTGCTGGTAAAAGACGGATGATTAACTGGCCAAGAAGTCCCAGAGTGAGGTGGTAGGTTTCATTCAAGTGTCCTGCATTGGAGATGACAACCTGAAACATCAGTGGGAGGACATGCTCCAGGTCTATCAGGGGGAGTGTTGGACCCTGTCAAGAGAAAGGGGAAATAGCTTCAGTATAGAACAGTTACATGAGAAAAACACTCTATCCCCTTTGTGTATTATTAACAACTGTCCTAGTAACCAAAGAATTATGTGGTGGCTTTCATAAATGGCTTATGTGTGACATAATATATGTCTACTCATCTTACATGTCTATTCATCTTACAATCTTACTTTTTTTCCCCTGGTTCTGGGGTTTGAACTCAGGACCTAGGCACTGTCCCTGATCCTCTTTGTGCTCAAGACTAGTGCTCTACCACTTGAGCCATGATACCACTTCCAGCTTTTGCTGAGTGGTTTATTGGAGATAAGTCTCATGGACTTTTCTGCCTAGGTTGGCTTTGGACAACGATCCTCAGATCTCAGCCTCCTGAGTCACGAAGATTACAGGCATGAGCCACTGATGCCTGGCTTTAGTTCTACTTTTAATTTCCTTTTAACTCTAAGATTCAAACAATTCAGAATACGCAAGAGTAAAAGCTCCCATAACCCCCTGTAATCAAACTGCTAACAGTATGATGGTTTTTCAACCTTTCTCTCTGCATATTTATATATATGCAAATCCATACAAAAGAAATTAATTTTTTTTGTCAGTCATGGGGCCTGAACTCTGGGCCTGGGCACTGTCCCTCAGCTCTTCAGCTCAAGGTTAGCACTCTACCCCTTGAGCCACAGCACCACTTCTGGCTTTTTCTGCTTATGTGGTACTGAGGAATCAAACCCAGGACCTCATGCGTGCAAGGCAAGCCTCAACCACTGAGCCACTTTCCCAGCCCAGAAATTAAAATTTTAAAATTAACTTTCTTTCTTTGAATAGTGTCCTACACAAACTTTTTTTCATCTTTTTGAAAAAAGTTAGGAACACAGGAGATAGGACAGAGATTTGACAAGTGGGATCACATCAAAATAAGTTTCTGGGGCTGGGAAGGTGGCTCAGTGGTAGAGCGCTTGCCTTGCATGCCTGAGGCCCTGGGTTCGATTCCTCAGCACCACATAAGCAAAAAGAAAAAAACCGGAAGTGGAGCTATGGCTCAAGTGGTAGAGAGCTAGCCTTGAGCTGAAGAGCTGAGGGACAGCGTCCAGGCCCAGAGTTCAGGCCCCACGACCGGACCAAAAAAAAAAAGTTTCTGCACAGAAAAGGATGTAGTTACTAAACTAGAAAGACAGCCAAAAGACTGGAAGAAGATATACCAGCAATATACCTGACAAAGGCCTTTAATCCAAAATATACAGGAGCTCAAAAAATTAACCCCTCCCCAAATTAATAAGCCAGTTAATGGAGAAAAGAGCTAAAAAAAAGACTCCTTAAAAAGAAAGGCAGGGCTGGGAAGGTGGCTCAGTGGTAGAGTGTTTGTCTTGCATGCATGAGGCCCTGGGTTCGATTCCTCAGTACCACATAAGCAGAAAAAGCTGGAAGTGGGGCTGAGGCTCAAGTGGTAGAGTGCTCACTTTGAGCTGAAGAGCTGAGTGACAGCGCCCAGGCCC